CAGGATGGTAATCAGCACTACTCTAATCAGCCTGAGAAAGATGTTATAAGAGAACTAGTTAGTGGCAAGGTGGTCAAAGCAGCTGGATCGCACATGGCCAACTATATGGTTCAAGTCCAGACCTGGTGACTTGCAAAGCATGCCCAAAATCCCAAGGGGAGAAGGGGAGAAGAGATTGTTGTGTGACCTACTCTTCATGGGGAGTGCTAATCCCCCCCTGGAAAATTATGATTTAAAAAAAAAAAGGTGGTGTAAGAGTTTGTCCCACCTCTACAAACCAACCATTTGCTGATTCCAGTTTCATTTCTTACAAAGTTATTCCCAGACTTAACATTCCTTAAATACCAAGTTTCTACTATTACTCTTTTTTGTTTGTTTGTTTGAAAAGTTTTTGCTATAGGGTGCATGAGCTCGCCAGAAAGACAGAGAGAGACAGAGAGACAGAAAGCGAGAAACCACCCCCCAGGGGGATGGCCACACCACAATCCTTTCTCCTTCATTCTCCTCTCGAGATCTTGGGCACGCACGCACATGCACCCAGCGTGAGTTTAAGCCTCCTGGTCAGGGACTCGAACCATGGTCGACTACATGGGAGTCCAGCTGTTACGCCAACTGCTGATCCTCCTACTATTACTCTTTACACTTAAACTCTCAGTAGGTCCTAACTCTAAATTGTGCAGCTGATCTTTCTTATTTTTTTTTCCCTAGAGGTTTTTGCTATAGGGCACATGCGCTCGCCAGACAGACAGAGAGAGACAGAGAGATAGAAAGCGAGAAATCACCCGCCAGGGGGGATGGGCACGTCACAATCCCTTCTCCTCCATTTTCCTCTCGGGATCTTGGGCACGCACGCACACACGCCTGGTGTGAGTTTTAAGCCACCGGGTTTGGGACACAAACCACGGTCGACTATGTGGGAGTCCAGGGACATAGCCATTACGCTAACTGCTGGTCCCCAGCTGATCTTTCTTAAAATCGAAACTTTCCTGCCTATACTTCTCACTTATTTTCCAAGAACCTCCTCTCTTCCACTGTACACTGTGAAACCACCTCTCTCCTCTCCAGAACCTTCCTCTGTTCCTCACACTGACCTCCTTACCATAACACAAACAAGAAAAGCTTATTAGCGGGGATCAGCAGTTAGCGTAATGGCTATGTTGCTGGACTCCCACGTAGTCGACCACGGTTCGCGTCCTGGACCCGGTGGCTTCAAACTCAGGCCGGGCGCGTGTGCGTGCGTGCCCAAGATCCCGAGAGGAGAATGGAGGAGAAGGGATTGCGGCATGGCCATCCCCTCTGGGGGGTGATTTCTCGCTTTCTGTCTCTCTGTCTCTGTCTGTCTGTCTGGTGAGTGCACGGCTCTACAGCACAAAGAAAAACCTCTCAAAAAAAAAAAAAAGCTTATGAGCTACCTACACTCACACCTTACTTTACCTGCTCTTCCTCCTTCTCTAGGCCTTCAGAGACGTCCCTTCTCCCTATGCAGTCATTACAGCCCAGTTTAGACCTTGTTTCTGACACCTTCCAATTTCTTGGGTATTAATGTCCCCAGCACACACATTCTCAGAATTAAATCATGCACCCAGCTGCCACTTGGCTAAAGTTCCTGGCACATGATAGAAACAAAGGAGACACCTTAACTCAACCCTTCCTGTTTTTCTTTTTCTTTTCTTTTTCTAAAGGGTGCATGCACTCACCAAGGAGAGATAGTGAGAGAGAAAGTGGGAAATTATCCCCCAGGGGGACATTCACTCCACAATCCCTTCTCCTCTAGTCTCCTTTAGGGATTTTTGGCATGCCCACACAAGCTCCTAGCATGTTTTTCAACCTACCAGGTTGTGGACTCAAACTATAGTCACCACCATGTGGGAGTCCAGTACCCTAACCACCAGACCACCTGCTGGCCCCACCCTTCCTGATTTTTGCCTGGTGAATTCTAATTTTTGCCTGGTAAATTTGTTGAACTTAGAGTGGATATCAGCTAGCCACGGTGGTGCAGCTGGGAAAATATGGAAAAATCCTGGGCTCTTGACCTGAGGTCTCCAGGGGCTCACATTTGTGCCCATCATCTTGGCTGGCTGATTTGCCCTTTTGGGGATGCCTGTCTCTGTCTTTCATGGAAGAAATAACTTAATTTTTTTTTTTTTTCATATCATGACTCCCAAATATTTCTGGCTTGCTTGCTCTGCATCTTTTGAGTTCCCTCTTAAAAGCAAAAGCAACGGAAAATAAATATTCAAGATGAAAAGAAACGACTATATGAAATGGTAGAGAAATCGACAAAAAGTCCCATACAGTATTTTAGCCCAAAGGCGACCGGCCACGGGACTGTCCGGTTTTGGTCAACACAGACCCTGCCAAGCTTTCTGCAGGTCTCGCCAGCCTGAGAGCAGACTCATTCCTTCCTCGATGGGCGTGGCCTCCCTGACCCCACCCCTTCCAAGAACGCAGCCCTGTGATTGGCCACGGCATGTACTAAAGCTGCCCCACCGCGCACGAGCAGCGGCTTCGGCGTTCCTGTGCGTGCGGGGCAATATGGCGGATCGACTCACGCAGCTGCAGGACGCCGTGAACTCGGTGAGGAATTTCCTTTGGTTAGTCTTTCTCTTTCCTGAGGAAAAGCAAGGAGGGAAAGGTATCTGCGAGACAAAACTCGGCAACGGGGAGCAGACCGAGGCAGGATGTCAGAGAAAAGCGCTCGCCCTGGGCGGCGGGGGGCGCCACGGCCAACCGGAGGCTTGAGGCCGGCTGCGGGGCGGCGCGGGCCGCTGCGGGGGGAGGCTCTCTTTCTACCTGAGGGGAGCTTCTCTTTCTACCTGAGGAGACGCGGAGGGTGTTGTCTCTTCCCGCCGTGAGGCTGCGTGGCCTTGTCCTGCTCCGAGAAGTTTCTATTTTCTAGTCAGTGGTGCTTTATGTGGTCGGGGTGGTGGAGGTGGAACAGAAACCTTTCCCTGTTTTTGGTCATAAATCGTAACCACCAAGGGGGTTCCGTGCTGTGGGTGTAACAACACGTAGCCGAGAGGAATCCCCTCAAGCGCCTTCAGGTGGTGTAAAGAAAGATGTGACTGTGAGTCGAGAAGTTTTTTTATTTCTTGTTTCGTTCCTCTGGGCTGAGGGTCTCGTGCCAGCTTTTTTTGACTACTCGCCAGCATGCATCGGTCGGGGGAGAACTTACATCTTTATGATAATGAATCTTTTAATCTTGTATTATTTTCCCGTTTCCGAAAGCCTTTTTTTTTTGGAGAGAAATTTTTGCTATAGGGCGCGTGTGCTCCCTGGAGAGATAGAAAGTGAGAAACTACCCCCAAAGGGGACGGCCGCACTGCAATCTGTTCTCTTCTTGGGATTTTGGGCACACATGCATATGCTTGTGGCATGAGTATTAAGCCACTGGTCCCGGATTCGAACCGTAGTTAACCATGTGGGAGTCCAGCGATGTAACTATTACAGCATCTGCTGGTCCCTAAATAAGCATTCTCTAATGTCTCCCTCAAAAGTCTATCCTTTGTTAGCACTGGTCTTGGACTCTAACTGTAGTTAACTATGTGGGAGTCCAGCAACGTAACCATTATGCCATCTGCTGGTCCCTAAATAAACCTTAAATGTCTCCCTCAAAAGTCTACTCTGTTAAAGATTAGATCTTGCAGGTATATTCTACTTTACCTAATGTTGTTTCTGTTCACGCTATTTCCTACCATACTGTGCCTTCGTGGAAAATTCGTGCAAGTCAGAAGATACACATATCCTTATTACCACTAAGAAAAAAATTTTTAGTTTTACATTTTCATTCAGATTGTAATCTGATGTCCCAGGTAGGGTACGTAGAGAGACACTATGCTGGTCCGAAGAGCCAAGTGCCTGGCCCCCTGTTGTTCCCCCCCCCTCACTGAAAGCTAGTAACTTCCTGTTCTTGTTTACATAGCAGTCTTTGTGCACTTTAGGAGCTGGAGTGTCTACTTTTAAAAACTAGTAAATGGATAAAGTAGATGCTTTTAAAGCTGAAAAGGCCAACTTCCACATGTTGATGACTATACCAAGATCAATTCTACCTTGCAGTGACTTGCCAGGTCTACCAGCCAACCTTCCTCAAAGAAATACTCCTCTGAGGTTTTAAAAATCAAATGTAGTGATGCTGCTGGATAGAAACATTTTAGGAAAATGTTTGCACATTAACACGTCTTGTACCTAAAAGGATAGTAAGGACAATGTGATTACAGCATTAACTTCAGGGTAGGCATGGTGATGACGACTGGGTTTTGGAGAGAAGCTTTTAGGTTAACTGTTAAATAGTGTGAGTGCCTACTGTGTATATAAACAGTCATGTTAACAAAGAGATAACTCCTCAAGGAGATGAAGGTGTCAGATACTCAAGAGACATTTAAATGATGCAAAAACAGTATATGGTTTGGGAATTAATAAGGAATCAAGTGATGAAGTAATTGGAATATAAAATGATATAAACAAAAATAGAGGGAATTTTCTTAATATTTATTCTAGTCATAATTATTTTATAACACTTGTTCGGCCCTCTGAAAACTTAATTAGTGCAGAAGTTATGTCATGTTCACTTTATCTCTATAATGTTTATATACAAAGCTTGTCATAGAATTGCTTTTTGATAGCTATTTTTTGAATAAATGGATCTTGAAAGTTTTGAAGAATGGAATAGAGAGCCACTGTGTTGAATATTTTGTGTGTTTTAAGACTAGACAGGTAAATATAAGGAAGCAATGAAAAATAAATAGGATAGTTGACTTAGATTACTGAAAGATTTTTTAAGAATAATTTTATTTAACTTTATTTACTTATTTTTATTTGACTAGAGAGGTACACAGAGAGAGAGAGAAAGTAAGAAAGCAAGCTGCTAGGTCCAGGACTCGAACTATGGTTGGACGTGTGGGAGTCCAATGCCCTTCACCACCCCGCCACCTGCTAGCCCCATTACTGAAAGATTTAAAGAGCCTGAGTTGGAGATTTATCTTGAAGACCAGTGTGGGATCAGCTCAAATTTTTTGAGCAGAGTAAAGTAATATTGTGAATTAGAAGACACTAAGGAGAATACTGTTATAACTGGTAAAATAACTGGTTGCATCAAGGCAGCATCAATAATGATGGAAAAGGGAAGGTTTTGTAGAATTAGGAAGATTTGAGTATGACAGTAAGACTATGAAGTTAGACTAGTTGAGTAGGAAACTCAATACAAATTAGATAGTTAACAGAGGAAACAATTGGCTTTGAGTTCTGTCACTAAAATGGCACAGAACTCAGTTGAAATGCTTATTTACTGAGTGGAAATAGAAATGAAGGTTTAAGAGTTGAGTACTAGCATAGAGATTGGTGGAGAGGCTAGGGGTTTTTAGTAATTTCACTGTATTTATTTATTTATTTCAATTCGACCAGAGGGGGACAAAGCGAAAGAGAGAACGCAAGCAAGAAAACAAGCCGCCAGGTCTAGGACTTGAACCATGTTGGCCGTGTGGAAGTCTAGCGCCCATAACCCTACGCCGCCCGCCAGCCCAGGAATTGCTATTCTTAATCTTCAGAACTGCTTTAGGAATAGTTTTAGGGCACTAGGAGTTTACAACTTGGGTCTTAGAGAAATAAATTTTTGATTACCTAATGTGCTTTTCTTTTCTGGCGGTCTTTCCCCCACTATTTCTTTACACTTCTAACTACTCTGGTCTTAGGAAAGGAATCATACTTTATACATGAGTAACACTTTAAAAAAATAAATTAAACTTGGAGCTGTATTTAGATATTTGCCAAACTTGCTCTTTCCTACCATTAGCCCCCTTACCCTCCAGAATCCTTGTGGCTAGAAGTATTGTCATGTTTCTCTTATCATTATATTACCTTCAGAAGAAAGATAATTTTGTAGTTCTTTTTGACTGTTTCAGCTAGATGGATTTCAAAATTAACTTGACCTAGATTGATACCAAACTTAGTTTCTTTGCATGATTAAAACATTTAATCATTGTTGGGGCCAGTAGGTGGCATGGTAGTTAAGGTGCTGGACTCTCACATGATCGACAGTTAAAGTCCTGGACCTAGTGACTTGCTTTCTCACTTTCCCTCTCTCTCTCTCTCTTTGGTGATGTGCCCTCTAGAAAATTAAAATAGTAATAATAATTAAAATTCAGTAAATAATTTTTAAAAACCCAAAACATTTGATCATTGTTAATAATAGCTGATTTATTTTATAAAAAATTACTTCTTTTGTTTTATTCTGTCAGAGATTGGTATTATACAGACACTGTTGTTAGTAATAAAGTTTCTTAAGTTGATAATCCTTTCTAATCTTCACATGTTTGTTTTCTTTGGTCAAGCTTGCAGATCAATTTTGCAATGCCATTGGAGTATTACAACAATGTGGTCCTCCTGCCTCTTTTAATAATATTCAGACAGCAATTAACAAAGACCAGCCAGCTAATCCTACAGAAGGTAAATAGGTGTTTTTTGTTTTTTGTGTTTTTTTTTGTCTTCTCTTAGTTTGACTCTCACATTTCTCATAATACTTGAATATTCAATTTCTTGAGAAACTCAATTAGGACTTTGTAAAAAATGCTGTTGGGGCCAGCAGGTGCCGTGGTGGCTAAGAGCGCTGGACTCCCACATCACCAACCATAGTTTTAGTCTCGGAACTGGACGCTTGCTTTTTCACTTTCCATCTTTCACCCTCTCTCTCTCTCTGCCCCTCTCTGGTCAAATTAAAATAAATAAATAAATAAAGTTAAATAAAATAACTCTTTTAAATATGTTGTTTGAGGGACCAGCAGTTAGCGTAATGGCTGTGTCACTGAACTCCCATGTAGTCGACCACGGTTCGAGTCCTGGACCTGGTGGCCTAAACTCACACTGGGCATGTGTGTGTGAGTGCCCAAGATCTTGAGAGGAGAATGGAGGAGAAGGGATTGCGGCATGGCCATCCCCCCGGGGGGGGTGATTTCTTGCTTTCTGTCTCTCTCTCTCTCTCTCTCTCTCTCTCTGGAGAACACACACTAGCAAAAAAAAAAAAAAAGGGGGAAGTTGTTTGAGAATGATACTACAAGTTTTGTTTATTATAAAAGAAATGAATTTATTATCGTCATTCACAAAGCATCTCATTATTCCATTCATATCAAATAACAGATTGTTATTTTTTTGGGGGGAGGAGAAGTTTTTGCTATAGGGCGCATGTGCTCTCCAGAAAGAGAGAGACAGAGAGACAGTGAGAAATCACCCACCAGAGGGGATGGCCATACTGCAATCTCTTCTCCTCTGTTTTCCTCGGAGTCTTGGGCACGCACATACACGTGCCCAGTGTGAGTTTAAGCCACCAGGTCTGGGATTTGAACCATGTTTGACTATATGGGAGTCCAGTGACATAGCCATTATGCCAACTGCTGGTCCTAGATTATTATTTCTTTAGAAGAGAATTTGTACAAAATTTTTTTTTAACTTTTGCTTGTGGAACCATAGTGTGTAAGGCTTTCATTTACAAATTCCTTTACTCAATTGATATATATATTTTTTTAAGAGTTATTCATTTTATTTGTCATTATTTTAATTTCACCAGAGAGACAGGGAAAGTGAGAAAGCAAGCCACCAGATCTGAGACTCAGACTATAGTCAGCCATGTGGGAGTCCAGCACCTCAACCACCATGCTATTGTTGGCCCACAAATTCTTTTATTCAAATGACCACAATATCTTCTAGTAAATAAATTGACATGCATTATGTTTAATTCCCAATTTGAGCTAATAATAGGTTAATCATGTAATAGGATTGGTGTGTTAAAATTATACTTGAGGATTTTAGAAAAGTTACATAAAGTTTTCTTGTTCTGTTAATTTGAAATTTGTTTTTGAAAACTCTAAGTTCTCTAATATCCTAATTTAGTAATACCTTTCTTTAGAGTATGCCCAGCTTTTTGCAGCACTGATTGCACGAACAGCAAAAGACATTGATGTTTTAATAGATTCCTTACCCAGTGAAGAATCTACAGCTGCTTTGCAGGTAAAAATCTTTTTCCCCTTGAGCATTTTTAATTAAGAGAGATAGATTTAATATCTCCTGTCTTTTAACTGTTTGTGCTGCTATAACAAGATATCTAACACTGGATGATTTATAAAGAGCAGAAATTAATTTTCTCACAGTTTCAGAGTCTTGGAAGTCCAAAATCATGACATTGGTATCTGTTGAAGGCTTTCTTCCTGCATCCTCACATAGTGAAAGGCTCTGATGGGCAAAAGAGCAAGAACTCCCTCTTTAACCTGAAGTTCTTTCATCAGAGCCCTAATCTCATCTATGAGGGCTCTAGTCTAATGATTTAGTTACCTCTTAATGGCTCCACCTCTTGATTTCATCACGTTGGGGATTAGATTTTAACTTGTGAACTTTGGAGGTGACAAAAAGCATCTTTTGTTGTAATATTCAAAGTTTTGAATTACTTTGAGATTAAGTCTTTTTTTAGTTTGTGGTATAGGGTACTTGAACTTGCCACAAGGGCAGGGGAAACAAGTGACAAATCATCCTGGGGTAGGGAGGGAAATAGCCATGTCACAGTCCCTTCTCCTCCAATTTCTTGGGGTTTTGCATTTTAAAGAAATGATTTATTTACTTGTACTTATTTTAATTTTTTATTTTGACCAGAGGGAAAGGGGAAATGAGCAAGCAAGCAAGCCTCCAGTCCAGGACCCAAACTGCAGCTGGCCATGTAGAAGTCCAGCACCCTAAGCACCACCCCATCTGCCAGTCCCAGGGTTTTCCATTCATTTTTTTTTTTTTAAGAATTATTTATTTTTATTTATTAATTTATTTTAATTCAACTAGAGAGAGAGAGAGAGAGGGGAAAGTGACAAAGCAAGCCACCAGGTCCAGGATTCGAACCATGGTCAGCCATGTGGGAGTGTC